GGAGATATCTTTGATATCGCCTCTCCACCTTCTTCTGGTCGGCCTTCGGGAGGGGCCCCCATTCTCCGTGTATGTCCTCCGCTTCCCACTGGATACCAGCGCCGTAGCTGATGGCATCGGGCTCTATCGCATCGCCGCCCTGTAGCCACGTCCCGGCGATTTGGGTGCGTGCTCTCCACATGGCCCTGCTGACGCTGTAGCTGCTCACACACTGCGTTTTCTCGGATCCGGCCGTGGCGGCAAGGTGGGACGAGGAGGAGCTACGGAAATTGGGCTCCAGCTTCGCCTCCGCCAATACTGCCTCGCTGCAGCTGGTCACGTTGGGCTCGTTCTTCGCCTCTCACTTCTCGCGAGGGCTCTCTGCACTGTAGCTGGTCACGTTGGGCTCTCTCGTCGGCTTCGCCTCCAACTTCTCGCATCTCGTGGGGTCGGCATCAGCGCTGTAGCTGGTGATATTGGGCTCCAACTTCTTCTCGCACGCTATGACAGCCTCTCGTAGCTGCCACTGCCCGTCCTTCTCGCACGAACTGGCCGCTCCTTTTTGAGGCTGCCACTGTCCGTTCTTGTCACACGAACTGGCCACACCCACTGTCGGCTGCCACTTCCCGTCCTTCTCGCATGCTCCTCTCTCGCTCGTTGCGCTGTAGCTGATCACGTTTGGCTCCAACTTCGCCTCCCGCTTCTCGCACCCAGCTTTCTCGGGTCCAGTCGTGGCAGCGAGGGGAGTCGAGGGGGAAACGTTAGCGATAGTGGGTTCCAGATCCACTGTTGCCCTGATCGCGGCGTTGTAGCTGATCTTGTCGGGCTCCATCTTCGCCTCTGACTTCTCGCGCTCACCGTTCGCAAGGCTAGGGCTGTGTATGTCGGGATCCAAGCTCGCTGCGCTGTAGCTGATCACGTTTGGCTCCAACTTCGCCTCCGCAACCGTGTCACATGCCGTTTTCACTGATCCAGCCGTGGCGACGAGAGGTGACGGGGGGAACACGCTAGTGCAATTGGGCTCCAACTTTGCCTCCGCCACTGTTGCCCTGATCGCAGTGTTGTAGCGGATCATGTCGGGCTCCAGCTTCGCCTCCGACTTCTTGCGCTCACTGTTCCCAGAGCTGTAGCTGGGCTCGTCGGGCTCCATCGCCGTTCCCTTCTCGCACGCCCTGATCGCTTCGCTGCAGCTGGTCATATTGGGCTCTGTCTTCGCCTCCCGCTTCGCATCCCACGTCTCGTTCTCTGTCCTCGCCGTCGTCCTCTCGCACGCCCTGATCTCTGCATTGTAGCTGGTCGTATCGGGCTCGATCTTCGTCTTCCACTTCTCGCACGCAGGTTCCTGCAGCCACCCTTCGACGAATCCATAGTCAAACGGCGAGGCTGGCCAGGAGGTGCTGAAGTCCAGCTCGACCAGTCCGAGATCCAGGGCGGCTTGCCGGCGCACGTGGAGCATTAGCCGTCTGCGGGCTCTCCTGCTGGCTTTGGACGGGCGCCTCATGTACACATCGTGCTGGGCGCACTCGGTCCACGCCATCCAGGTCGCCCCGAATGATGCTCTCCACGTCTCCACACACTCGCCCGTCGGGCTGGGGGCTCCCGTCCTCACGGGCCCATCCGCGCGCCGCGCCCGCCGCGGGCAAGACGGCTGCGCGGGGCCTCGCTGGGGAGCCGCCTAGGAGGAGAAGGAGGAGGAGGAGGGAAGGAAGGAGGAGGAGGAGGAGGAGGAGGAGCAGCAGGAGGAAAAGCAGGAGGATGAAGAGAAGGAGGAGGAGGAGGAGGAGGAGGAGGAGGAGGAGGAGGAGGAGGAGGAGGAGGACGAGGAGGAGCAGGAGCAGGAGCAGGAGCAGGAGCAGGAGCAGGAGCAGGAGCAGGAGGAGGAGAAAGAGGAGGAGGAGGGAGAAGCCTCACAAACGGAAACTTTCGGAGCTCCTCGCGGCCCCCCCCCGGCGGCGCCGCAGGCGGCGCCCCTATGGTGCGCTTCGCGCGCCGGTGGTGGGGTGGGGTCCAGCGCAGATCCAAGAAGTCCGCGTGGAGCTCCGAACGTTTCTGCTTCTGCCGTTGTTTCGCCCTCCTCCTCCTCCTCCTCCTCCTCCTCCTCCTCCTCCTCCTCCTCCTCCTCCTCCTCCCTCCGCCCCACGGTAGGGCCTGCGGCTGCGCAGAGGCAGCCCCCCCCCCGCTCAGACAGCGCCCCCCCCCCTGGAGGGCAGTCCCCCTCGCGGGCCTCCGCGGGCCCCCCGGGAGTGGCCCCCCGAGGGCCTCACCACAGGCCCCCCCCCCGCCCAGCTGAGACGGCCAGCCCCTTCCTCACTGCCCCTCTGGGCGCGCCTACTCTCAGGCGATCGCAAGCACGGATCGAGGGGGCGTGGATGAGCGACGGGTCCCGTTTCCATGGGAGGAGTCGCGGACTTCCGCCGCCGCACGAGGCGGCACCGGCCGCATTTTGCGGAGGGCACCTCCCCCGATCCATGGACTCGGCGACTGCGTGCGCGTGCCAGATCCATAGATTTATGTCGGGCGTGTCCCCCTACAGGGGGATTTTCGACGACAAATAGAAAATACCCCAACAATGCCCCAGAAAGGCCCAAACATAGTCCAAAACTAGTCCCCAGGCTATGTTTGGACGATTGTTTGATCATTTTTGGGGTATTTCTTATTTTTCGTCGGAAATCCCCCTGTAGGGGGACAGACCCGACTTAACACCAGAGGCCCCCCCCCAGCTGTCGGGGCGGTCTCGGCGCCTCAACCCTGGGTCAGGAAGGCATTTGTCTTAAGTCGACCTGTCCCTCTACAGGAGGAATATTCACAAATAGTACAAAGTAGTCTGGGGACTATTTTGCGATGATCTTTGATTTTTTTTTTTTTTTTTTTTTTTTTTTTTGAGCATTTTGGGATATGTTTAATTTTTCGCCAAAATCCGCCTGTATGGGGACAGGCCCGACTTACATTTGTCAGGTGGGAGGATGGGGCTGGGAGGAATGAGGATGTCATTTTACATTGTTCATTCCTAATTCTTCGAAAGTTCTTGATTTTTTTGGGGGCCAAGATTCTTTCATTTCTAATTGGTCTATCCTGGGCCTCTTCCTGGCCACTAGGGGGCCAGGAACAGTCAGAAACGAGCACAATAAGAAATGAACACGATTAGACATGTACGACGTGTACTCGTAGGCGGTCGCAGGTGTCGTGCATTTCACCCGGATGCTATTGCTCCTACCCTTCATCCTCCCAACCCCGTCCCCCCAACATGACAACTGTTCTCCTCACTGGGGCGCGGAGCGCCCTGGGGGCGGCGCTGGAGGTTGCGCCAGGGTGTTGAGACCGCCTGGGCTTAGGTCGGGCCTGTCCCCCTACAGGGGGATTTTCGACGAAAAATTGAAAATACACCAAAAATATTCCCAAAAGGCCAAACAATACTCAAAACATTGTCCCCTGACTATTTTTGGATTATTTTTTGATTATTTTTTGGGGATGTATTATTTTTCGTCGAAAATCCCCCTGTAGGGGGACAGGCCCGACATAAACCTGGGCCCACCCTGCCGAACTTCGAGGAGACCCAAGGGGGGGCAGAGCTGGTGGGGTCGGAGGATCGCTCCGCATCGCGAATGCATCGGCGATGCGACTCGATGTGGAGCCGCGTCGACGTCGCCGATGCGTCGCCGGCGTCGAGGATGCGTCGACGATGAATCGCCGATGCATCGGCGATGCGGCGCGATTTGCCGACCCCATCTGCTCGGAGGAGGAGGAGGAGGAGGAGGAGGAAGAGAGGAGGAGGAGGAGGAGGAGAAGGAGGAGGAGGAGCCCCGAGCTCCTGAATCAGGGGGGGGGGGCGTATCGACCCCCAATCGCCCATGGATCGCCGATAGGGGCCCGATAGCCCCAACCTGCCCAAGGAGGTGCGGATTCACGGTCGGAGGCCGATCGCCGCTCTCTCGGCGATGCATCGCCGATTCCAGGCCGATGCATCCCCCCCTATGCCAGTCCCCCCCTTATCGTTGCCCCTCACTAAAGGAAACCACAGGCCCCAAGTAATGACGCCACGGCACAGCACGGACTGCCTCCAAGTCAACAACAGATGGCAGCGCAGACCGCGAAGCCAAGATGTAAGCAAGCACGGTGTCGGGTCCTTCTTTTTTGGCACGGGTCCCCTCAGCGTCAGCTGCGCGGATGACTGCCTCCAAATGCTGAGGGATCTCGGGTCAGCGAAGAACTGCTGGACTCATGCTGAAATCACCTGTCATCAGCCGCGACATCTCGAGAGACTTGGTCAGGGCACGAACACCCTGAAATGTGATGCGGTTCCTGGCGGTCATGCAGATGCTCGGTAGGCCGTACAGCACAATGCCGACGACGGAGGACCCCGCGAAATGGAGCACCATGGGGAGGAGCCCATCCAGGGCTGACTGATGAGCCTCTCTAAAATGACGGGCTGCAACCCGAACTTCCTCCAATGTATGCGCATGGAGGTGAGCTTGAGCTATAAAAAATCCCCCTTCCATATGAGCTGGCAACGTGCAGGATTGTGATGCACACGGAGTCGAAGACGGCGACTCTTGGCATCCCACACCCTGATCTCGGACTGCACAGCGGTATGCGTCTCGACCAGGGCCCAGTAAGAATACGTTCTGGACTTGGGTTCGATGAACGTCCAGGTCTTGTCGGAGAGGCGGGTGACAGTGCCGTAGAACATCCCGTAACGCCGTGGCTCCCACCCCTGGCCGCATCCCCTTGCGGCCTGGACTCTAAAACTAGTCAAATCGAACTCGAGGCTCCACTCCCCTCGGCTGACCGATCGATCCCTGCCGTGCCACGGCGCCTGAGCCAGCCTCCTCCTGGAGGGAGGTGGGGGAGGCTCGCCTCTTCTTGGCCATCCTCTCCTCGATGTCCTGCTTGTGCTTCTGGACTGTGCGCAGCCACTCCTGGATTTCCTTCTCCTTGCCCTGGATGTGCTCGCGGCCTCCCATGAGCTGCTTGTGCAACCCCGGGAGAGCCTTCTTCTCCGCCTCCGACTCCAGGTTGGCGAAGAAGCCATCGTCCCACTGCATGCTGATCATCTTCTTCTCGCCGTCGTCGCCGCCCTTCGTGGACTCGACCCGCACACCTTTCCGCCTTGACGACGGCCTGGGCCGCCTGCTATTTGACCTCCGCTTCGGCCAAGGCACGTGCTGCAGCTCGTTCTTTATCTTCCGCAGCCGCCAGATTGCTGCGCAGTCGCACCACATGTGCCACTAATTGCTGATGCCTGTGTTCAGCGTCCTGCCAACATCCATCAGCTCGCCTGAACTCCTCGGACACGCTGCTCTTCTGGTTCACGCTGGTGTTCTCCTCCCCCAACTTGTCCAGATGGGCATGAAGATCACTCTGGAGCTTGGGTTTTTTCGTCGCTGCGATCGCCTGGAGCAAGAGCTCATGGACTGAGGCGCCCTTGTCCTTGCCCTTCTTGCCGGCCGGCTTTGACCGCTGCTCTCCCCGCGGCTGACGCAATATACTTGCTGGGAGCGGCTTGCGAAGACCCTCGGATTCATCGCCATTGCCCGCATCGAACCAGACATCCTCATCACCCGCGTCGTGGTCACCGAAGTGGACGCGCCCCTTGACACGGAATAGCTCGACCGTGGCCCCGCAGCCATTGCATGTCATGTTACGTTTGCGGAGCAGTTGATTCCATTCGCGCTTGTGGCATTGTGCACACCTGCTTCAGAGATGCGCCATTTCTGAATCTACGACCGTGCCTCCTCTGTGTTTGTCAGTGCTCTTTCCTTTCTAACTGGTGGGGAAGAGCAAAGTCCCTCAAGCGCTGATCGGAAGCCCAGAGGAATGCGGCCCTAAGGGAGACCCCCGTCTCCCCTCTGAACCACAATTGCTTGAGAGGAGGATGAGGATGAGGAGGAGGAGGAGGATGAGGAGAAGGAGGAGGAGGAGGAGGAGAAGGAGGAGGAGCAGGCCCACCTCGTGAGTTTTAGTGCCGCCCTGGAGCCTGGCCCCGAGGCACCTGGGGGCCCCTGGCGGCGCCTCCTCCAGCACCGCCCTTGACGCGCTCCGCGCGACATGGAACTGATTCATCGCCGATCCGAGAAATCCGCGCGGACCTTCGCAACTCTGTGTGGATGGTGCAGATTTGTTGTCTATCAGCACGCTCACACATCCCGAATGCGCCCAACACCATTTTAAAGAAGAGGGACACTCCTGGAGGAGGAGGAGGAGGAGGAGGAGGCCCAAGAATTCCCCGAATGAGAGCAAAGAGGAGGAGGAGGAGGTGGAGAAGGAGGAGGAGAAGGAGGACCAGTGTAAACCCAAGACGTGTCAACGATATTGCAATACACCCTCCGTCCAAGTTCCAAGGTCCCCTTCACAGTTCCCTACAAGGCTTCACCTTCACTGGGGGAAGTGCCCCTTTGGAAGACAGCCGTCTGAAATTTCTCAACCGTGCCAGGACACCATTCCTGGGACCCTAACGCCGCGACTCATCGTATGTGTTGCGCCATGGCAGTCCTGAGTCGTTCCACACACAAAGTCTGCAGCGCTGGCCATGGCAATCCGTGCAACGTTCCACGTTAGTGTGGCATCCTGACTGTCCGGAGTCGAGCCAAACACCATTCGTGGGACTTCGGCACAGCGAATCAGCGTCACTGTTGCGCTCCGACTGTCGTACATGTTACCCAACCGCCGTTTCTGGAACGTGAGCCATGATAGCCCCTGAAACTGCTGTTAACTCTTAAGACGAATGTGCGCGGCGCGAAGGCGAGAGTCACACTTAAAAACGGGTACCTCCCGCCATCCGTGAACCAATGTGCTCGGCGCACATGCGAGAGCCACGTTTTGAGCACGACCCGCCCTCCACTCGTAACTCTCTCACAGAAGGTTAAGACGTCGGTGCGTGGCGCTGAAGCGAGAGCCGCATCATTCCGAAAACGGCCCGCCTTCCATCCGTGAGACTTTGCACACTGGTAAGACGAATGTGCGTGGCGCTGAGGCGAGAGCCACATTTTGAAAACGACCCGCCCTCCATCCGTGAGCGTGTTGCACAGTTTCAGTTTGAAGATTGTAATTGTGAGGCAGTCTCAGGCGATTCGCCCGACTCGCCCTACCGACACGTTTCGGGGTGCGATTGGGAGGGGCCATTTTTTAGGAAGAGGAATGGAGGAGGAGGGGGGGAAGAGGAGGAAGAGGAGGAGGCGGGGACCTGCTGCAAGAGGTTGAAGTCCTAGAAACCACCCTTCTCTCCTCCTTCGCTGTGCCGGGGGCTCCAAGGGAACCTATCCTCGAGTGCCACTTAATAGTGAGCAGGGGATCGGCAGGACTTGAGGCCACGTGGCTGTGTGGCGCCTTGACACCCCGTTAGTGAGCCCAGCGAGGATGGAGGATGCCGAGGGGGGCCATGGGCCAGGGAGGCAGGAGGACGAGAGCGAGAGCGAGAACGAGGAGGAGGAGGAGGAAGAGGAGGAGGAGGAGGAGGAGGAGGAGGAGGAGGAGAGGGGTGACGAGGAGGAGGAGGAGGAGGAGGAGGAGAGGAGGGAGGAGGGAGGAGGAGGAGGAGAAGGAGGGAGGAGGGAGGAGGAGGAGGAGGAGGAGAAGGAGGAGGCGGAGGAAGAGATCCGCCCTCTGCGCCGCCGCGTGCCGCCGGCACGTCGCTCGGCGGCGCCCCTGCGCGCTGAGGAGACCAACCCCGACGCCAAGATCTCCTCGCCCAGGCCTCGCGCTTCGCTCGCGCACTCGCGCGCGCGCGCTCGCGTGCGCGGCCGCACCCCGTGACGCCACGGCGGGGACGCCTCGGCCGCGGGTTGTGCCGGGGGGGAGAGAGGATGGAGGGCGCTCGACTCTGCGGCCAGGCATGTCTACTTGCCTGGCATGTCAGTTCGCCCCCCCTCCTGCTCCCTCCCCCTCCTCTGCCGCCTTTATAAGGGGCCCTGAGCCGAAGAGGCGTGCGGGTGAGTCCCGACCTGCAGGGCGTCCAGAGTTCCTTTCGGGCCTCGCCACGTCCCCCTTTCCCTCCCCATCCCATCCCCTCCCCCCCCCCAGAGGAGTAGAAGAAAGGAGAAGGGAAGAGGAGGGCGCAGCATCAGGGATGGGCGAGGGACGCTTAGGGAGGAACAGGAGCGGCACCAGGAGGGAGGATGAAGGAGCAGGATTGGCAAGAATGGAGAAGACATAGTTTGAATGAGACTTATGGAGGACATGGAAGAGGAACGAGAGGACGTAGAGATGATGGAGGATGGTGAGGAGGCGGCGGAGGCATCTGTTCAAGAGGACGAGGACGAGGAGGAGCAGGACGAGGAGGAGGAGGAGGAGGAGGAGGAGGACGAGAAGGAGGAGGAGGAGGAGGAGGAGGAGGAGGAGTTGGAGAAGGAGGAGGAGAGGAGAAGGAGCTAGAGAGAAGGACGAGCAGAAGACGGGGACGGAGGAGGAGGAGGAGAGGAGGAGAGGAGGAGGAGGAGGAGGAGAGGAGGAGGAGGAGGAGGAGGATGAGGAGGAGGAGGAGGAGGAGAGGGAGGAGGAACAGGGAGGAGGAATTAAGAAGGTGGGCGTTGGTGGAGGAGGAGGAGGATCATGAGGGAGGAGGAGGGAGGACCAGTGCAAAACCAAGACGCACCACCGATGTTGCAACCAATTCTCTCTCCAAGTTCTCTCTTCATAGCTCCCCACTCTAGCTGTTTTCATTGCGGGAACGGCTCCTTTGGATGACGACCGTCTGATAGTGTTCAAACAAGCCAGAACACCGAGAATAAACGTGATCGCTCCATCCTGACAACCGGAAGTCGCGCCAGCATACAATTCCTGGGATTTCAGCGCCGCGAACCAATGGGAGTGTGACGTCCTAGTCATCCTAAGTTGTGCCATATCACAATTCTTGACGCTTCGCGTGTCCCCACCCGCCCGTCTGCTTGTTAGCTGTAGCTTGGACGGCGCGCGGCCCTTCCGCTTGCGCTCGCGAACGCACAAGTCCCCACCAGCCCATCCAGAAGCAGATCGCCAGGCGAGTTGCCTTGATAAAGGGAAGTGTCGAATAATGCAGTATAACATCCGTCTCGGGAGCGTTTTCTCGGAGACCTTTTAGAGCCATCATGGGGCTCTTTTGGGGTCCTCGCGGGGCCTCTTGAGGCATTATTGAGGCCTTCTTGGGGCTCTCTTGGGGCCTTCATGGGCCTTCTTGGGGCACTCTTGGGGGCGTCTGGGAGGCCTCTTGGAACCGTCTCGGGCACCATGATGCAAAACGAGGGGGGGGTCGGAAATTCAGTTTCCCCCCCTCTGGGAGGCTTACACATGGCGTCTTGAGGCCCTCTTGAGGCGCTCTTGGGGCGCTCCTGGGGGCGCTTGGGACTGTCTTGGGGTTTTCTTGAGCCCCTCTTGGGTCGTCTTGGGGCCATCTTGATGCCTCAAAAACCTATCGGAAGCGAGAAGGCGATCACGCGAATCAGCCTGAATTGCATTTGGCTTTGGAGCCATTTTGGCTTATTGGGGAGGTCCTTTGAGGGCTCGACGTGCACTCGAAACCGTCTTGGGGCCGTCTTGAGTTCTCTTGGATGTGTGTCGGAGGTTCTCTTGATTCATATCCAGCTACCTGGAGCAGGTGCCATCTTGCGCTCTCAAAGGCCCTGCTCGAGCCATCTTGGGCCATCTTGGACGCTTCAGCCCCTCGTGGGGCGCCATTTCCAGGTCCAGGGGATGGGGTGTGGGGGGGAGGGGTCAAGACACCGTCCTAGATAGCAAGCCGTCTAGCTCACTCCCAACCGCCCTCCCAACAAATAAGTTTCACCCGAGTCTCAGCATGTTCAGCGGTCGTCTTTGGATGGGCAGCTACTTGGAACCAACACCGACCCCATGTGCGCGACGCTGGGGCAAGGTGCGCCACGCGTGCCAGGCGCGCCACGCGCTCCAGGCACCCCTGGGGCCCGAGCGTGCCAGGCACGCCTGGTGCGCCAGATGCGTCACGTGCTCCGCGTGCGCAAGGTATGCAGCACACTCCAGCCGCGCCAGGTGCGCCACGTCCGGGGCACGTGCAGAGTGTGTCAGGTGCGCCTGCGCACGTGGCAGCACACATCGGGAAACGTGTCGGCCCCCACCATCCTTGTCGAAAACCAATGTCCATCAGTGTGTCTGGTGGGCCTGCGCACAACAGGCCATACGCCACCAACCCCGCCGTCCCTATCAACAACAACTTGACAGTGATCGCTGGGTGGCCGCGCACGATCCAGATTTAGCCGCGAGGTGTATTTTTTTTGTTATGGGTGGTAGCCGTGCGCAAAGCAGGCAATATGCTGACACCCACGCCGTCTCTGTCAAACAACCATACAAAATGCTGCTCGCGGGCCTCACGAACATGATTCAAGACGTCGCCCCGAAGTGTATTTTGCTTTGTTTCTGAAAAAGGATGGGGTGAGCCGCATCGAGTTGGTTGCGCATGCTCTGCATTTGGAGGCAGAGTGTGTTTTGTTTTGTTCTTTTTGGCAGGGTTGGTTGGGGTGGTGGTGAGCATGGGGTCGGCATTGTTCCTGGTTCCTGGTTGGCTGTTGGTCGCCTGGGGGAGGGGGTGGATATCATTAGGGAGCAGAGACAAGCCCCTCCCCCTAGCAGGGGAAGGAGCGAGCTTTGGCAGAGAGACGGCGAAGCTCGTTAACCACCTGCGCCCAGAAAACTAGTAAGATTTCTGGGGCTTCAGCCTTGTACACACTTGGAGCTGGTTTTGCAAGACGAACGTTCGCGGCGCTCAGGCTAGAGCCACATGTTGAGAGTTCACCGCCCTCCATCAATGAAGATGCTGCAAACTTTTAGGACGAGTGCGCGCTGGGCTAAGACGACATACACATGTTGGGAACCTGCGGCCCTCAATCCATGTAACAATTGCACATTGCAAGCTTCAGCATCATCAATGGTGACTAAGTCATGCGGAATGTCCAGCGCGCCCTGGTGACACGTCTGGGGGTGCGACAAGGAGGAGTTATGAGAAGGAGGCGACTCGGGTTCGGGGTGACTCGCCCGCGGCCGTGCACCCGTCTCTTCCGCCTTCGGTTCTCTCGTACGCTTCCTTCTCCTTCTCCCTTTTTCCCCCTCCCCGTCGCTCTCTGCGGGGGGTGCGACCTGCCAGTGGTACCCGCCGTGGCAGGTCGTGGCGCAGTGCTGGCCCGCACGCCCAGCCCCCGTGGCCGCGCACCTCATAGTTCGGTGCATGCTTGGCTGCGGCAGCGGGGTGGTGACCGCACCGTGTGGTGAGTCGGTGGGGATTCGGGGTCACCGCACGGTTTTGGGACTCGGGCCGCGCTTGGAGGACGTCTCGGGCGACCGGGGCCTCCAGGGTCCCAAAACCGTGTGGTGACGGACCCTGCGGTGAGGTTTTTGGGGATTTCGAGGTCACCGCCGTGTCTGTCACCACACGGTGACGGGACCCCCAAAAGTGGACTCCTCCCCGGGGGCTCAAGGCTGGGCGCCCCCCCCGAACCAGCGTCGGGCGTCGGCTGGACAGCCCCCGGCCGCGGGGACAGTGCACAGGCCGGGCCGCCCTTCCGCGAGCAGGTGCCCGCGCTGGGCGGCCTGGCCGGGCGCGCGGCCCCGACAGCGCGGGTCTCGTCAAGCCGAGCGGAAGGAAGGGACAGTCAAATGAGGCAGATGGAGCATCGGGCGGGGCTAGAAAGACTCGGCGGCAAGCGGGGGGGGGAAATGAGAAGGAGAAGGCTGTCTCAGAAGGCGGCGGGGCTTAGAGAAACCCTTATGCCTCCTGAGTTTTTTTTTGTCTTTGTCTCTTCGGAAAGGCTAGAAAACTCTTCAGAAGGCCGGGAAGCTTCCGAGCCTTCTGAGGAGGCCCGCCCCTTCTCACTTGCCCCCCAGGCGCGCCGGCTTGATGCTCTTTCGTATCGCAACGTTCAGGAGCTTTCTGGAACGGTTGCGGCGCCCAATGCGTCCTCCATCTTTGCCAGGCCTCAAGGATCCCCAGTTTGTCCTGGTCGGATGTTGCCCCAGTCCTGGCTTCGTCGTGGGGGCAAGGTGAGAAAGAGGAGGGGGAGGACGGGGGCAGCGGCGGCAGGGAGGTTGCAGCGGGGACCTGCGCCGACAGGTCCCTGAAGGCCTGCAAGCTGGAGGGCATCCTTCCCGACGAGCTCATATACAAGCCGGTCGAGGCGCCGGTTGTCCCCTGTCGCTGACATAAATACTCCGCCTGTCTCTGCCCCCCCCCACGCACGCTGGTACAGCTGGCGATGGTGATAAGGCTGGTCGCGATGATGATGACGACGATGATGGTGCTGATGATGGTGATGGTGATGATGATGGTAATGATGATTGATGGTGGTGATGATGACGGAGATGCTGGTGGTGGTGATGTTGATGGTGATTTCGCTCATGATGGGGATGGCGTTGTTGATGCTCTTGATGCTTTTGATGGCGGTGGTGGTGATCATGCTGACGCTGATGTTGCTGCTGCTGGTGATGATGATGGTGATGATGACGCGGATGATGAGGATGATGGTGATGCTGATGGCGATGCTGATGGTGATGGTGATGGTAATGGTGGTGGAAATTGTGGTTATAATGATGATGGTGGTGGTTGGTGGTGGCGGTGATGACGACTGTTGCAATCTCCAAACCCGACGGTTCTCAGAGATCCCCGATTTATCCTCATCTGGATTTTTTCATCGTCTCGAGCGTTTGGGTTTAGTTTAGCGGCCGCACCCCGCTGGCACGCCCCAAACAGTGCAGCAGGCACTGCCGGGGAGGGAGGGGTGCGGAGCTGCCGCCGCTGCCGGCGCCGCCGCCGCGGAAAGTGGTCCGAGGGGGGCTCGCGGGGCAGGGCAGGGCGAGAGCGCGAGAGCTCGAGCTGCCAACCTGCACCCCCCAGGGCGATCCTGGGGCTGTCCCCCCTGCACCTCCGCCCCTCCTCCGGGCCTCGGGCGCGGACGAGGTGGCGTGGAGCACGTGCTGCCGGGTCGGGGGGGGAGACGGAGCGGACGCGGAGAGCACGGCGGGCGTGGGCACGCGCCGTGCAGACGGCGATCGGGGGCATCGCCCTCCGCGCCTCTGGCGGGCGAAGGCGTGCTGCACGTGTCAAGCAGTGGCGAAGCGTCCCGGCTCGCCTATAGCCCCACTAAACAGTGTTCTAAGAACCTGTTGTGGTTTCCACGAAATGTTCTTAGAACATTTCTGGTTGAGATTGTCGTGTTTGAGCACATCGGGTTTATGTTCTAAGAACATCGCTTTTGTTATTAGAACATTGTTTTGCTATTGGAACCTTTCGTGGTAGGACTGTAGGAATGCCAGGACGGTCGGTCCCTGCTCAAACGTGTGCGCGCGGTGTTCTTCTCCCCTCCATCTCGTCGGGCAGGTCTGGCTGGGAGGGCAAAGCCCTGCCTGCTGCTGGAAGGCCTCTGTGCGGGCCTGTGCCACGTGCCGCTCTCGCTTGCTGGCCACGAGCGTCTGCGGACACAGTGGGTGCCGTTGCGTATGCAGACACCTTCGGGGATGAACATGTCCAGAGACAACGCGGTCGTTGCGTTCGGCGCAAGTCAAGGTCGGAGAGAGGGCAGATCCACCTACGGTACGTTGAGATCTGTGCCAGACGTGGAGTGCCCGGTTTGCTTCCGCCCGTTCCGCAGCGTGCAGTCCGCCCGCCCTGGCTGGGTGCTTGTGCAGATCGGCCGTTCTTTTGCTCTTCTGCCTGCCACGGGCCGCTCTGGCTCGTGCCCGCTCCGAGACGTGGAGTTTGGTCCTCGCAGCCTTGCCCCAGCTGGCATTCGGAGGGGCAACGTTGGGGGGCATAGATCCACGGGGGGAGCATCGGCCCCCTACCGGGGCTCCTTCCGATGCCTCCGAATCGATTCGAGCTCGATGGCTTCCCATTCCGATGCGAGTCGAATTCGGATTCAGAGGTGGCCTCCGATTTCTCACTGGCGGCCTCACCAGCCTGCCGACGTCCGCCGATCCGGTCTCTCCCGATTGGGCTGCCGACCTCCGCCGATGCGATTCGTGTTTGAATGCGGATCCGACGTATCGATTCGATCCTGGTCTCTCCTGCCAACTGTCCATTCATCGCCGATAGGGGCCTGATAGCCCATCCTGTCCAGGAGCGTGCGCTGTCGTCGTCGGGAGCATATCGCCGATCCATCGGCGATGAACTGCCGATCCCAGGTCGACGTTCCCCACCCCCCGGAGCCAGGCCACCCCCTAACATTCCCCCTCGCATCAAAGCGCCCAGCGCTTGCGGCGTCGGCGGCCGCCGCGCGGTTCTCGACGGGATGTCGTACGCATACCTCTTCAAGTACATCCTCGTCGGCGACGGCTCGGTTGGCAAGTCCTGCCTCCTTTCGGCGGCCAGCCAGGGGGGGAAGTGAGAGGAGGCGGGTCTTCTCAGAAGGCTCGGAAGTCATCCAGCCTTCCGAGAAGTTTTCTAAGCCTTCCCCGAAGACGCACGCAGAAAAATATTCAGAACGCCAGAAGGATTCTCAGAAGCCCCGCCGCTTTCTGAGACGGCCTCCGTCTCACTTCCCCCCTCGCTCGCCGCCGATCCTCCTCCGGTTCACGGACCAGCGGTTCCAGATCGACCAGCCTACCACCATCGGCGTCGAGTTCGGGTCGCGCACCATAAGCATCAACGACAGGCGCATCAAGTTGCAGATCTGGGACACCGCTGGGCAGGAGCGCTTCAGGTCAATCACGAGGTCCTACTTCCGGGGTGCATGCGGAGCTCTGCTCGTCTATGACATATCTCGACGTGACACATTCGACCACGTGGCAAACTGGTTGGAGATGTTGCGGGATTGCAGCGGGGCGGAATCGACAATGATGATTACGCTGATCGGCAACAAGTGCGACTTGAAATGCCGCGAGGTCTCGTACGAGGAGGGCGCCAAGCTTACCCGTGATCAGGGCCTTATCTTCCAGGAGACCTCTGCCAAGTCGGCGCAAAACGTCGAGAACGTCTTCATAGAGATGAGCAGGATAGTCTACGAGAACATCCAGAACAACGTGTACGATCTCAGCAGCAATAACTGCGGCGTCCAGGTTCCGAGGCTGGGACTCACTAAGTCTCACCAGAGATGATCCCCAATGAGTGGATTCACTCAAACTCTAAGCTCTCCACGTTTGTCCACCAGCCTATCCAGAAACGATGCCCAGGGGCCCAGGGGAGTTGCCCTGATGAGGGATGTGGAGGATCATGCAGTGGAATAGTGGGCTGGGGAAGCCGGCATACCCCAAGAGGAGGAGGATGGAGGAGGATTTGGAGGGAAAGAGGAGGAGGAGGAGGAGGAGGAGGAGGAGGAGGAGGAGGAAGATTGCGAGCAGAAAGGCCACAGGCCTCTTAGATGCCTCTCGGGGTCTCTTCAAATGTCCAAATGTCTCTCGAGAGCTTCTTGGAGTACTCTTGGGGCGTCTTGGGGGCTCCTGGTGGTCCTGGGGCCTCTTGGAGAGTCTTGTGTGCCTAGGGGGCCTCGGCGTCTTCTACGCACTCTTCCTTTGTCGGGCCACCTCTGATCTATACTCTCTGACATGGAATCTCTCCTTCCTATCCTCTAACCGCTCATTCTGACCGTGGTCGCTCTACTCCGTATATTTGTCCATCCCCCTCATTTGTTTTTCCCCAACCATCCTGTGGTGTTGGGCCCTCGCTTTGCAGAGACAACGCCCCGCGCCTTCTCTCCTCTCCTCTCCTCTCCTCTCCTCTCCTCTCCTCTCCTCTCCTCTCCTCTCCTCTCCTCTCCTCTCCTCTCCTTCTCCTCCTCCCGCCTCCCTCCTCCCATCCCTGCCTCTGCTCACCGCATGTCCACCGTTTTGGCACACCGTCTCACACGTTCTGTGGTCCCATAGGGAGCTCCGCCGAAGGCCCCAGTGGGAAAATCTGCACGGCACCGCCGCCTCCATTTCGGCACACCCTCACACGTTTCGTGGCCTCGTAGGGAGCTTCACCTAAGGCCCCTGTGGGAATGATCGCATGGCACCGCCGCCCCATTTCGGCACACTCTCATACGTTTCGTGGCCCCGTAGGGAGCTTCACCCGAGGCCCCTGCGGCAGGGTTCGCATGGTACCGCCACCCTATTTCGGCGCACCCCTCACACGTTTCGTGGCCCCATAGATAGCTCCACCCAAGGCCCCAGTGGGAGACTTCGCACGGTACCGCCGCCTCCATGTCGGCACACCCTTCGCACGTCTCGTGGCCCCATAGGGAGCTCCACCGAAGGCCCCAGTGGGAGGGTTCGCATGGCACCGTGGCCTCCATGCCGGCACACCCCTCGCAGTTTTCGTGGCCCCGTAGGGAGCTCCACCGAAGGCCCCGGCGGCGGTTCCCCCACCCACTACAGCGCTTCGTGGCCCCATAGGGCGCTCCACCGAAGGTCCCACTGGCGGTGTTCGCATGCGTCTCCCCCGCCCGCTACAGCGCTTCGTGGCCCCCATGAGGAGCTCCACCGAAGGTCCCACTGGCGGTGTTCGCATGCGTCTCCCCCGCCCACTACAGCGCTTCGTGGCCCCCATGAGGAGCTTCACCGAAGGCCCTACTAGTGGTGTTCGCATGCGTCTCACCCACCCAATAGAGCGCTTCGTGGTCACATGGGGAGCTCCACCGAAGGTCTCACTGGCGGTGTTCCCACACAGTACAGCGCTTCGTGGCCACACAGGGAGCTCCACCGAAGGCCCCAGCGGTGATCGCGTCTCCCCCACGCACACAGCGTTCGTGGCCCTATAGGCAGCTCCACCGAAGACGATATTCACGGATGCGGTACCCATAGTTGCATATGGTCGGGTCCTTCACCAGGCTATTTGTTTGTTTGTCTCTCTCTCTCTCTTTCTCTCTCTCCTCTCTCTCTCTCGTTCTCCTCTTTTCACGGCTGCGCTTACGTCGTCTACCCTCCCAGGTCGTTATGTTCTTTAGTATCGAGTATATACTTGTTGTTATTTTCTCTGCCCACTACTCTCCGATATGTACTCCTCTATTCTCTATTGCCGACTCTCTCATTCTGATCGCGGTCGCACGGTTCCGGATATTTGGTTGCAACCAGCAGCTCTAAATTATCGGGACTCTTATTCAAGCGGCCTGCGCCATTCCGCTGACCCTTCAGAAGGAGTGCCTGCGACGATCTTGGAAGCAATCTAGTGGGTCAGGAGCTTCTTGGATGCATGTGAGGGGCTCGCCAGATGCCTCCCAGGGGCCTCTTGAAGGGCTCTTGGGGGCATCCAGGGGCCCGTTTGGGCCTTCTTGGGGGCCTCCTGGGGTTTTCTTGGGGACTCATTGGGGGCCTCTTGGTGCCTCTTGTGGGCGCCTTGGAGGCGTCGGGGGGGCTCTTGGGCCACCTTGGGGAGAAAGCTCGACGTATCAGTTCGCATCCCCCTTTTTGGGCCCCCTTTCAATCTTCGGGCCCTCTTGGGGCTCTCTTGGGCCGTCTAGGGGACACCATGCGGCCATCTTGGGGCCCTCTTGGGCTGCCTTGGGGTCCCCTTGGAGGCCTCATGGGCCCTGTTTGGACGATCTCGAGGGTCCCTTGGGCACCTTAGGCCGCCTTGGACGTTGTCAAGGCGAAAGAGGTGAGTATGCTACGAGTGAGCGTT